GAGAAAGATAGAGTAAGAGTTAAGTGTAAGGATGAAAAGTATAAGTGGCAAATATTTGCTAGCAAGGATAGGGATGCAGGGAACTTTACTATGAAGACTTATATACATGTCCATAAATGCCCAACAAAGAACAAGAACAAACTTTGCACAACCAAGTACATTGCAAGAAAGCTCCAAGATAGAATCATCTCAACTCCAAACATCATAGTGCATGAGTTGCAAGAGGTTATAAGGGTTAAATGGGGTTTGTATGTAGGAAGATCACTTATATATAGAGCCAAGATGAAGGTAATTAGTCAGTTTATAGGTGACTAGAACCTTGAAATTTCAAGGTTGTTGGACTATGCTGACATAATCAAGTCCACCAATCCTGGAAGTTCATGTTGGGTGAGAACTGATACAGAAACAGTTCCTTGGAAATACCTGTTTAAATATTTTTATGTATGCTTTGAGGCTATAAAGAAGAGATGGATGGCAGGTTGTAGAAGAATCATAGGTTTTGATGGTTGTTTCCTAAAGGGAGATTGCAAAGGTGAATTATTAGTAGCTGTTGGGAATAATGGAAATAATCAGATGTATCCCATTGCTTAGGATTTGGTAGATCAAGAGACTACACATTCATGGAGTTGGTTCATCAACTATCTCAAAACAGACTTAGAGTTGAGGAATGGTAAAAATTTAACAATCATGTCTGACATGCAAAAGGTACTGCAATCCATTTATTATGTTGTTTGTTTGTTATTATTGTTATTGCCAGATCACTTGCTGATGTATCTCACTAATATTTTCTGTTGTTGTTGTTATTAGGGACTGTCATCTGTTGTTGTTGATTTCCTACCTCTTGTTGAAAGAAGAATGTGTGCAAGACACATATGGGCAAACTGGCAGAAATCTTGGAGGGGAGAGGAGAGAAGGAAGCAGTTTTGGAGATGTGCTAAGGCTCCTTTCAGGTAAAGTTAAGAGAAGAAATGAAGAAATTGGATGAATTAGGAAATGGTATTTTAAAAGTTTACTGTCCTATGATAAAGAATACTGGTGTAAGGAATATTTCAATAAGAAGGTTAGATGTGATGTTGTAAAAAACAACATGTGTGAAACATTTAATTCCTAGATACTAAGTCCTAGACATAAATCTGTCATCACTATGCTTGAAGAAATTAGGCATAAAATGATGAGTAGGCAAGTTGATATGATCAAGTTTGTTGAAACATGGGTTTCTGATATATCACTTATGGCAAGACTAGTTTTAGAGGAAAACAAAGAAATAGGAAGGAAGTTGGTACAGTGGAATGCTGACACTGGATTTGAAGTGAATGAAGGCATGTATAGACACAATGTTGATATGCAAAAAAGAAAATGCAGCTGTAGATTATGGCAGTTAAGAGGTATACCATGTCAACATGCAATATGTGCCTTTTATAAGATTGGGAAGGAAGCAGAAGACTATGTTGAACACTGGTATAGGAAAGACACTTTCCTGGCTGCTTACTAATACTATATTCAGCCAATTCCAAGCATGCAAATGTGGACTGAGTCTACCAATCCATCAATTGAGCCTCCTGAAGTTAAACTAATGCCTGGTAGGCCAAAAAAATGCAGAACAAAACAACAAAGATGAACCAAAGAAGTGGGGAAAACTGTCAAAGAAGGGTGCTAATATGTCATGTTCAATTTGCCATCAAGTTGGTCACAACAAGTCAGTATGCAGTTTAAGGGTAAGTTTGATGACTTCCAATTCAATTTTTTTTCATTGTTTTCATAGTACTTGATTAATGACTTAGCAATCATATACTAGGGACAAACAAGCACACAATCGAGAAGGTCAAATGGAACAACACAATCATGCAAACAAGCTGGTAGTCAAAGTAATACAACCCAAGCTGCAGGTACATCAACTACCACAACCCAAACTCCAAGGGCCCCATCTTCCTTGTGTGCTGAAATATCAAATAAGAAGGAACACACCATCAGTAAGAGGTAGAGGAACTGTAAGAAGTGGTGGTAGGGGAAGAGGTGGAGGAGCTGGTAGGGGAAGAGGTGGAAGATTAGTTGCTGCTTCTGTTACATCTGGTACATCTATTTCTGCTACTGCTAGATCACTTGCTGCTTCTGTTGGAAAGAAAAGAACCAGAAATTCTGGTTTTTGTTTGTACACAGACACACAAACATGAACTAGTATCCTTAATGTGAGTGTGAGAAGTATTATTCAATATTAGTTAATTGTATTTTCTTCTGCATGATTCATTACTGACTAAGTGTTATTTCTAGCCTGGTAGGCCAAGTGAAAGATTTATTTCAATCGGTGCAAACTTGATGAATGCTGCACAAACTAATGTAGATCTTGGATTTAGACCAAGTGATCTCAAGGGGAAAGGGAGAGTTGTGATAAGGAATCAGCTTCAAAAGCAAAGGGATGCTGCAGTTTCCAACAAAAAGATGAAAGTTGGAACCTCTACTTCATCTACACCAGTTGACTCTTATCAAAGTCAAATTTAGGAAGAAGTTTCTTGTATTTTGTTGGTCATGTGTATGAACCATATTTTGTGAAGTATTTTGAACCTACTAATGTTGGTCATATGATGAACCTTACTTTCCTATGGGATGCATATGAACCTGCTTTTGTTAGTTCAGTTTTTCAAATTATTCAACCTTTGCTATTATGATACTGGTAGTATAATTTTTTGCTATTATGAGATCGGATTAGTCCACCTTTGCTTCAGCAGTCTAATTTTTTTGCAGAAACTAAAACACATTTGATCATTGAAAACTTCATCATACACATTGTAAATTTCAACTACATTGAATAGGCAACATTGGCCATAAATCAGAAATAATATTGCAGTAAAATAAATGGGGTTACATGCCCATATACATATACCATACACCTAAATAATAGAAGATTCCCTCAAAAACCAAGTCACAATTACAATTACAAGCAGCCACACCAAAATCCTCTGTTTCTTCATCAACTTCGACTTTTCTTCTTCGTGATTTTTACCCTATTTAATAATCCATACATGACTTTGGTATAGTGTTCGGATAATTCAACATCATACCAACGAAAAAAATCGCATCCACCATCGGCAGCTTTTCCAAATCTACAGCCATAGAATCTTCTGCCCGGATTAAATGGTGACCAGGAAAGTTTTAAAGGAGCAATTTGGCCACATTTGCAATTAACAACAGGTTCCATTGAAATAGAAGAAGTAGAGAGAGAGAAGAAAAGAAAGTTTGTTGCTTTGCTAGGGAGGAAGAAGATATACGCGGTTGGAGATGTGAGAGAAGTGAAATAAATTTTTAGGGTTGAGTTTGAGAATTTAAATTAGGGAGTTCATTAAGGTTTTTTTGGAATTTCACAAAAAAATCCGTTACATTACCGTTGGAATTACTTACACACGCGCGAATCCGGAGGTGTAACACATGCGACGGGGGCTGGTGAGGTCAGGTGTTTATTGAGTTCACTTTTTAGTCCCATGAAATGTTTAAGTGAAAATGTCTCAGTTGAGGTGTTCAAATGATCGTTGGGGACAACTTAAAGGGGCGCTTTATGTATTTCGCCATAGGACTTTACGTAGTTGTTCAATAAGGAAAGATTCAAAATACAAAGTTTTAGTTTATTTTAAACTCTTAAATATTTAAAATTAATTAAATGACTATTCCTAAATATTAGGAAATAATTAAAGGACTATACATGCATATTAAAGGAAAATAACTTAAATTACTATTTTATCTAATGTGAAATTAGTTTTCAAAGGATAAAAAAGGCGGACGATATTTCGCTAAGGCATTCGTGCTTTTAATATAGTATAGATATTGTAGATACTTTGCAAATGCAGTTTACACAGTTTTTTGGTCATAAATATCTATGCAAGCATTATTGAAATGGACGATGAGACGCATTTCGGCAAGGGAAAGGAGTGAACTGGAAAGTTTTACAACCTCAAAGTCAGGAGATCCACAATGAATACCTTTTGATGACAACAGGATATGGGTTTAGTTAGTTATTCCCAGACCCAGTCGAGACAAATAACGTTGTTAGCTTTTGTACCATATAAAGAAGTCTGGTTCTGCAAGTGGGCAGGAGACCAATATCTTCATTCTTGATCACTATTTTACCATTCACTATTCAGTCTCCACCGNNGAAATCATAAATCTAAATCAACAGCCTTTTTCCGGCACAGAGCCCCCTAACACGTGNCGTTAGGGGACAAACTTAAACGGGGCGCGTTTTATGTATTTCGCCATAGGACTTTACGTAGTTAGTTCAATAAGGAAAGATTCAAAAATCAAAAGTTTGTTTATTTAAACTCTAAATATTAAAATTATAAATGACTATTCCTAAATATTAGGAAATAATTAAAGGACTATACATGCATATTTAAAGGAAAATAACTTAAATTACTAGTTTTATCTAATGTGAAATTAGTTTTCAAAGGATAAAAAAGGCGGACGATATTTCGCTAAGGCATTCGTGCTTTTAATATAGTATAGATATTGTAGATACTTTGCAAATGCAGTTTACACAGTTTTTTGGTCATAAATATCTATGCAAGCATTATTGAAATGGACGATGAGACGCATTTCGGCAAGGGAAAGGAGTGAACTGGAAAGTTTTACAACCTCAAAGTCAGGAGATCCACAATGAATACCTTTTGATGACAACAGGATATGGGTTTAGTTAGTTATTCCCAGACCCAGTCGAGACAAATAACGTTGTTAGCTTTTGTACCATATAAAGAAGTCTGGTTCTGCAAGTGGGCAGGAGACCAATATCTTCATTCTTGATCACTATTTTACCATTCACTATTCAGTCTCCACCGATAAAACTGGGACGAAGTTTCTCAACAGAATACATAAATACTAATCAACAGCCTTTTCCGGCACAGAGCCCCTAACAGTGCATCATAGCGGCATTCTGCCTCCAGAAATTAGAGCACTCGAAGAAGCTAAAATGAAAAGGAGGGATTAACAGATATGAATGAAAACAGAAATGCTGCAAATAAATTAACGACGCCATATGTTCAAAATTCATGCAACAATGTTCAACAAAAGAGTCCAAAAAGCACTAATTCATCATGGTAAGTTGAATGGTTTAGACTCTCACTACCATCATTATATTTTCTATAATAATTGAAGACTAGAGAATCTAGTAGAGAATACTTCTTTTACTGTTTCACTAGAAACCTGGAACAAGAGAAACTATAGCCCATAGTGATAAATAAACATCTTCAATTTATCCGGTACAAAAGTAAGAATTAAAACAGAATTACAAAATGTCACTTCCTAGACCCATTACTTGATATACTGAGACATCCATCTGAAGCCTTCTCCATATCCCATTTTGCGGACTATGCTGCACATGAATACCTCAACTGGACGGACATTGGAATCTGCCAGGTTTACCTTCCCTTTGCCAGTGGTGACGCCCGTTAGCCCCATATGGTAACGCAGTTCATCTTCTGAGGCAGCATATGGGATGTCTATCTTGTTACCCAGTATCAGGAAAGGAACAGTTGCCAAGGACTCGTCAGAGAGCAGAGCATCCAGCTCTTTCTTGGACTCCGCAAACCTTTCTTTGTCAAAGGAATCCACCAAGTATACAACAGCATCCACCTTCAGAAAAAAGGAATTTTGTATTAAGCACAGCACCAGAATTATTCAAATTAACTCTCGGGACTTCTTATCCAGATTTTGCAGGCAATTGCTTTAAAACTAGCAAACAAATAACACGACAGTCCAACTAAATAAAGATCTAGTTTTGAAAAACGGAACTATGAATAATGATCATTAGTAAAGGGAATTGCATCTTAAGTTCCCTCTTTGCAGTTTTTGGTAAGTAGCAAGAAAATCATACTTAGAATTGCCCATTGGACAAGCTTCAACAGTACGCACTTGCTACACGAGTGAAATAGTATGTTTTCCGCTTTCTCACATAAAACTGTTCCTACATAAGACCACAAATTTGCAAATAAAGGAAATCTATAGAAAGTTCAATGTTGTACAACTCTATTAATATGACATCTGAAAATGTCTATTCAGGGAATTTGTACCAATAACAATGACAATGGAATTAATTCATGAAAAAATATTCTAAAAATATTTAACAAGAAACAGACCTAACTTGCTCAGAAATGAATTGAAGACCTTAAGCAAGTGTTTTTGAAAGATACTTAAGAAGTATAAGAAGGTGCTGAGTAGAAAGAGAGACAGAAGAGAAAGCAAATGGGAAAGAGAGCAACTATTCATGTCTTATTTGACAATGAAACTTCTTCACACATCTGATGTCATCACTGCAGCAGAAATGGCTGCAGCCAATCCAATGATGTTCCTTGTTGTCAATCTCCAACGTTGTTCCTTGGATAGCTAAAAACTTCAAAAGCAGGGAAAATATGCTTGTTTTCGGTATAACGATTCAAATTTTTTTGTGAAGGAAATCTTTCGTCAATGCAGATAAATATAAGTGTACGGAAAGGTACTATTGAAACACCCCCGGAAAAAGAAAGGTGCTAACAGCAAACTCCCAACATCAATATATGCCTCCCATGAATCAAATAAACAATGAGTAGTTCATTTGGGATTATGAAGGCATTAAACCATCTGCCTTAGGGATACACATAATACTTGTAATAATACAACAACTTCAAATTAACTACTGGAGTTTTTGCGCAACCTGCATTCAAATTTCATACTCCTATTAGATAAATTATAATAACCTTGTTGAAAATGTCAAGGTTGCTACCAAAACTTTTTAAAGCTTCTCAAACATTTAAGAATCCCCAAAAATAAGAAATTGGCAATGAAGATGGGGCAGAGAGAGTAACAAAATCCCGTGGAAATTAAAAGCCGTTGGTAAGAGCTAGAAATGAAGTTAGCAATAGCAACCTGTAAGTCACTTGATAGAATCCTCTCTCCAGTATATAATTTATCCTTCATTTAATACTTGACCAAGTCTCCAATATTAGCACGACAAGAAGACGAAATCACAATCGACTTGTCAATTTTAAGACCACGTTCACCCACGGAATCTTATAAAGCATACAAAACCATTTGCAAGTCAAAAATTTAAATTAAGACAAGAAGAGAAACAAAAAGGCAACAAACCTTAGCATAATAATCTTTCCAAACACGTCGAGCAATCTGATGACCACCCAAGTCAAATGCTTTGAACTTGATCTTGCCAATACTAAGCTCCTCTGACGTCGGATATTGTGTTGGCTGATGTTGAACCAATCTCTGCCAAAATTCCGTAACCCTCAATTTCAGATTCAATATTACAAATAACCAATAACCAAAAACAATTCTGCTCAAACTAATTAATATACTAATTCTTTCGCTGTACAAATAAGGCCCAGGAAAAAAAGCCACATCAGGGAATTCAATTTCAGGTGAAAAAATGGAGATCAGAAAATCAGATGAAGTTCAGCTTAGAAAGAAAATCAACCAATTACATATGTTCATCAACATAACAAATTCTGATATATATAATCACATCTAGATATGTAAGCCCACATTAAAACGGCTCAAATTGTATTATTACTAATAAACACTATTTAATAAAGGAAATGAAAAAATACAAAGAAAAATAGAGAGGAGACAGACCTCATCTTTCAACATATGGAGTAAGGTGGTTTTGCCGGCATTATCGAGGCCCAAAAACAAGATCTTAGCCTCCTTCTGCCACAATCCAAGCGTTGCTAGAATTCCATAGAACCAATCTACCAAGAACATCTTGCTGATCCGAAAAGCCCAAATCAAGGTCCAATATAATTGGGGACGGATTGATCAATGGATCTACGAACAGGAAAAGGGGGGGTTAGCAATCTCTCAAAGGAGAAGTGCTTTAATTTCTTCTCCTCCTCCTCTTCCTCGAAACGCTAAACACCTGGCTGGCTTAGTAGAGAGAGAAAAGTCCAAAGGTGAGGTTTGTTTTTGTCTGCATATATAACTGGCCAACCCTAGTCCCTCACCTTTGGGGCTTTTTGTGTGTGTTTAGCAGCTCCTAAAATAATACGGATAAAATATATAGATTTTATATATTTTTTTTATCATTATATATATTCTGTAGGTTATTTATAAATTTAAACAAATTTTATATATTTTTTTCGCTATTGAATGTAAATAATTTTTAGTGACTAAAAGTCAAAAAAAGCACATTCTTTTCCGTAATATAATACTAGTACCAGAATATAAATGATATGTTATTCTTACCTTGCAACTTTCCCAAGAAATACTGATCCCGTACAAAAAAAGAGTAGGATACCAATAAGTACAATAATCAACATATCTTATCTTTGGCGTAAATTGGATTGGGTAAGTTAACTATTTACCCTCCTCTACGCAATGTCTTTTTCTCTTACCCATTCTTTTTAATGAAGTCAAACGAAGCTACTATAGACCACATCAAGTCAAGCCAAATTATGCCAAGCCAAATCAAGCTAAGCTAAGCCAAATGGGGTAAAAAAAGTTGGAATGGGTAGGGATAATTAATTTTAATTAGATAGGGTATATATTGTAAATAGTTTTCAGATAGGAAGGAAAGGTAATTATTTTAAGCTCAATATTTTGCATAAATTGCTTTTTTTGAAGTTGTTAAGAAATTTATTACATCCAAAATTTACAGAAAAAGTAATAGTACTACTATAATCACGTGTTAACAAAGTATTAAAATATTTGATATAATCGTAATAAAGGAGTGTATTTAATTTCTGACACATCAATACTATGATTTACTAAGGAAGAATCATTTGTTGTAAGCACAAAGTGTGGATCATTTGTTGTAATCAACTAAACCCATTGTTTTTACATGGAACATTTATCTATGCACGCATAGTACAATTTCAATATAGATACTGAATTCTGAAAACCAGACTTTGTAGTAACCAATATCAAAGGACACATACTCATCACTGTCCCTTGCTTTTGAAGTGGGACTTTACTTGCCTCGACGGGTTAAGAATTTATGCCTACCAAGCTTGAGACTAACTATGAGTCGGGCGGATTTAGGGGCACAAGGTGTACACCCGAACCCCTTCGCCGAAAAATTATATTGTATATATATAGCAAAATATGTATTTTTACCTATATATATTTTATGTTTTGAATCCACTTGACACAGTCCAAAAGCCTAGCTTAATGGTCAAAGTGAATTAAAACCTTTGTAAAGTCATTGGTTCTATTCCCACGAACTTGATAGTGATCTGGGCGTACGACTTGCTTAAAACTTCTAAAGATAGCGACAGTATATGAACCATATTTGCGGGGGATTTGCAGCGGTACCCACTTTTTATGCCACCTTTTAACCTATACCCTGTTTTTAAAAATTATTGATTTCGTAACCAACTAACAGAAAATCCGTATTAATATGACCATTATACCCCTTCCAAAACATATAAAAGTGCGTCTCTCCTCCGTATTCACAGATTCAAATTACAGATCTCCTCCGTATCTCCTCCATCAGTCAGTTCCTCCTGAGAACGCGTCTCGTATTCAAATTCCATATTCAAATTCAAATTCAAATACATTGTAAGTATTCAAATTCATCTCCAGAATTCAAAATAGTTTTTGAATTTTATGTTTTCTGGTTGTTTGACGAATTTCAGTGAAGGAATATAAATTCCATATTCAAATCAAATTCATCTCCAGAATTCAAAATGTTTTCTGATTAATTCACCGAATTCTAATTTAATGTGTGATATGTTAGTAACATATTGCACTAAAAAAACTTCGGCCTAACAGCTGAAGTTTTTTATTTATTATTTAAAAACTTCAGAAGAAGCCTGAAATTTTACTCCTACACTGGTTAAATTAAAAAATGATATTGCACTAAAAAAAATTCGGCCAAGCAGCTGAAGTTTTTTTGTTATTACTCAAAAACTTCAGCATATTTTCCACATACACTGGCTAAATTAAAAAATCATATTGCACTAAAAAAACTTCGGCCTAACAGCTGAAGTTTTTTATTTATTACTTAAAAACTTCAGAAGGAGCCTGAAATTTTCCTCCTACACTGGTTAAATTAAAAAAATCATATTGCACTAAAAAAACTTCGGCCTATCAGCTGAAGTTTTTTATTTATTACTTAAAAACTTCAGAAGGAGCCTGAAATTTTCCTCCTACACTGGTTAAATTAAAATCATATTGCACTAAAAAAACTTCGG